AGTCCTTGAGTTTACGACAATAATTGAGCCTAAAATTTATATTGTTAAGTGAGAAATTTGTTAAGTGCCCCATTGTATGACTTTTCTCACCACGTTTAGTTAAGTGAATCACCGCAGTTGTTAAATTAGTAACACCGTTGGGAAGAGAATCCGGCTTCCCCATTGAGTTTGCTTGTCAGCTGACTCCGGATACACTGCGACTGTCATAAATATTAACCACTTGTCAAGCATCCGAATATAAATCACATGACCACGGGGATGCTGCTATGGTTATAAGTGTGAAATAGCCGTAAGTCACTTTTTTTTCAGTGCTGTTGTAACTCCGGTCACTAAACGAACTGTTGTAAGTGGAGAACTACCTGTAGTTCGTTTGGGCCTTTTAATAATCAATTATCTATGCTAATAACAACACTCATCAATAGGGTTGATGCAGGGGTAGGATTGAAAATTTTTAGCAAATGGCTCTCTCCCGGTTGCTGTGTGGGCGTGGCCATGGGGGCATGGCTTAGTCGGCTGCCTGCACCATGGTGGGGAGGGATGCTTTTGCCTTCCCCGGGCTCCAGAAGCTTTCCTCAAGCCTCCGGCGAGAGCAAAAACAGCCTCCTCCAGGTTCCGGAGGCCCAAAACAGATGTGTTTCCGGACATCCGGTACTTTCAGTAGGCCCGTTTTTCACCCTCCCAGAGACTCTGCACAGGCCCTGCACTTACCTTACATCCAAAAGTCTGCATGGAAACTCCTGGGAGAGGTGGGGTGGGGAAGGTCGAGTCAGCTAGTCCTTGCAACTACCAGTTCCGCGAACCAGATTAAAATTAATATCCGATTCACTCGAACCAGTCTGAACCCGCTGAATCCCACCCCTGGGTTGATTCAAGTGTCTTTGCCCTCCTGGTGTTTACAACCCAGCATTTGATGAAGTAACAAAAGAGGAAACAACAATTGATTGCATGACAATGAAATGTCACTAATCTTATTGCTGCAGCAGGCAGCAATTCAACATGTATGTCTCCCTGGAAATAGATGCTGTAACATTCACTGGAACATTTTCCCAGAAGAGCAATGAAGCCTTGGCTCTTCACCCAGGCCTTTTGGAAAGGAGAGATCCCTTGATATCATCTGGCCTGTCACACTTGCCACCTTTTATTGATTTTCATTGTAATTTCTTTGATTGTTGTCAGATGCCCAGAGCCAGTGAGAGTCGGATGGCATACATATTTATAAATTGCTAAGTTATTATTATCTCTTCACAACAATCTGAAGTCCCCCTGCCAGTTCTTTAGCTGGTGATTGGCTTTCATACCCATCAAGTTCTTCCCCAAAACCTAGGACATCATAAGGTGCCGGCTATTATGTCTATGGAGATTCTCAGTCATCCAGGTCAAGGTGCTTTTTTTTTCAAGAGGCAACTGGACTTTCTGGTTTTACTTTGAAGACGTTTCGCTTCTCATCCAAGAAGCTTCTTCAGCTCTGACTGGATTTATTCCATTCCCCACCACCATCCAGTTAGATCTGAAGAAGCTTCTTAGAGTGAAGCAAAACATTTCCAAAGAAAAACCAGAAAGTCCAGTTGCCTCTTGAAAAAGTACCTTTGGGAAGATATGCTATTATGATTTGTCACAGTCAGCCAAATATTCACAGTGGATTTAACATTTTTATCCATCTATTGAGTCCTTCCCAAGGACCTGGGATAAGCAGATGTGGATGTTTGATAGTATTATCGCATAATCAATGTAGTGAATCTCTAAAGTATATGAAGGATGATTAAAATTCTGCTTGTAATAGATTGCTGTCCCTCACACACCCTCAAGCCAAACATTTGCAGTGACTGCCCCTGGAATAATGGAATAGAACAATGGAAGGACTAGGGCTCTCTTCTCTTTCCTTCCCAATTCTTTCCATTCAAGGAACTTATGGCAACTCTCAAGACACATTTATATAAAAGGTAAGCACTTGGGTAAAAATGATGTAGCTTATGGTCTCAATCACCATGCAACATGTATCCCAAATAATTGCTGCAACCATTTTATGCCTCAAATTCCTTCAGATATGTTGGATTCTGTCTAGCCCATCTAAAGAATCTTGTGGATTAGTCTTGTGTGGAAAATGTGCATCCTGTTCCTGCTGAAGGAAGGGAAAAGAAAAACCTTTGTTGATTAATGTGAAAGGTTGCAGCAGGAAAATGAGAAGGATAGCAAGAGATTCAAAGTGTTTGTTGAGCAAGATCAATTCATCACAGCTTCTTTCTCTCATTCCTCATCCACCATTATCAAAATAATGGTTGTTTGAACCCAGTGACGTGCAGTCGGGGGAGGTAGGGGAGGCAGAGCCTTACCACTGTCATCATGAAAAGAAAAAAAATGTAAAAGGAAAAAGGCAAGAGCTAATATTCACAAAACCTGTAGCTACATATTTCAGCTTATCCATGTTGGCCCTCTTTTGAGAACAATTACATTGGCAATAAAATCTTCCCACAACATCCAGACATTATATTTAAAACTGCAACACCAAGTTGCAGTTGGTGCCACAACTGCCATTGTGTGCATATGCTGTCAAACTGAACACGAATTGTAGAAAAGATGCATTTTTCCACATTTTAATTCAATTTGATGAAGGAGGATTTACTTTTGAAATTTCTTTGTTAAAGGACAAGCCAGCACCCTGGTTACTGGCATAAGAGGAGTTTGGTGTGGTGAAGGGTATATGTGAATAGCCGGTCTTTCATTTTACAATTATCCATCAAAGGTTTGCAGCAGGGGTGAAAATCAGCAGGTTCTGACAGGTTCTGGAGAACCGGTAGCAGAAAATTTGAGTAGTTTGGAAAACCGGAAAATACCACCTCTGGCTGGCCCCAGAATGAGGAGGGAATGGGGATTTTGCAGTATCCTTCCCCTGCCACGCCCACCAAGCCATGCCCACGGAACCGGTAGTAAAAAAAAATTGAATTTTACCACTGGTTTGCAAGCCTCCCTTACTTCTAATGTAACCCAAAATAACTCCTCCCAGTCTTTCAGATCAAGAACGTCAGGCAGCCATGGAAACTGAAGAACGTAGCAGAAAGATGTGTAACAGAAAATACCAAAACTAAGCTATTTTTCTTGAATGAAGTTCAAATACATTTCAAGGAAAAACCCAAAATAGGACTCTCAAGCAATAAGGTATAGGAAAACCTGTGTCACATTAAACCTCGTTTCAGCGGTTTTCTTTTTCCAAACAATCTAGTTAGAAAAATCGATTTCCAGACAAACTACCCAACAAAAGACAAGGCTCTTAACACAGTGGGAAAAGCAGAGCTGCAGTGTTCTATGCACAACTGATCAAATACAACCCATTTGCAGATTTATTTGTACATTGGGTTCTACAGCCACTCAAAGTCTGTCTCCAATGTTGCAGACATAGAATCTTTTCCGTGCATTTGGCAAGCCACCTTTTTAAGCAGCTGTCTAATTTATCTCAATGGAAGAAGCAGATTGGTGAACCATATGCTGAACTGTGGAGCTCTCTTCAACACCGTTCCACAAATGTGTCAAAATGTGCAAGATCCTTTTGCTCAATAAGTAGGCAGAGGTTTTTTTTTCCTGATCAGTGTTTATTTTATGGCATTTACTGTAATTCATAAAAAATAGGCAGCTTTAGATAGCCCTCGACCTACAACCACAATTTTGCCCAAAATTTCTGTTGCTAAGCAAAAGAGTTATTAAGTGAGTTTTGACTTTTTTTTATTGCCACATTTGTTAAGTGAAGCACTGCAGTTGTTAAGTTAGTAACAAGGTTGCGAAGTGAATCTGGCTTCCCCATTGACTTTGGTTGTCAGGAGGTTGTAAAAAGTGGTCTCATGACACACACACACACACACACAAACACACTGGGGTACTGCAATTGTCATAAATAAGTACCAGTTGCTAAGCATCCAAATTTCGATCATGTAACCATGGAGATGCGGGAACCTTTTTAAGTGTTAAATGGTCAAAAGTCACTTTTTTCAGCGTAGTGGTAAACTTCAAACAGTTACTAAACAAATGGTTGTAAGTCACAGACTACCTGTATCTATAGGCTGTAGCTTGCTCAGATCAGCCTAGTCAAGCTTCATCAAGTACAGTGCAAATGAAGTGGGATAAAAGATGAAGACAGTTTAGAAGAATAATACTCATAATCATGTCCATTCCATTCAATTAAGTTCTCAATATAATGAACACTGTGTTATGTAAAACTAAGGCTAAAAAATGCTTCTGTGGAAAAATCCATGGTTCACTCCAGGCGTGGGTTTCTCGCCCCGTTCCAACCGAACCGGTTGGAACGGGGCCGGCGGCGTCCTCGTGCACGCGTGCAGTGCACGCATGCGTACTAGCGTCTGTGCGATGCTCCAGCTGCTCCTGGAGGATCGCGCAGATGCTGTATGCGTCCTGCGCATGCGTGGAAGTGCAGAACTCGTCAAAACCGGGTAAGAAACGCGGGCGGGCAGGTGGACTCTTTGGCGTTCCCGGAAGTTACTTACTTCTGGGTTCGCCGACCAACCGGCTCACGGGGACCGCCGCAAACCGCCTGAAACCCACCCCTGGTTCACCCCAAACTAATTGCAGTGCAGTGAATCCAAAAATGTCGCAAATAGGAATTTGAGTTCTTAAAAATCATAGCATTACAGGTCTAGATGTACTCTTAGAGGTTAGTCCAACATTCATTCATTCATTCATTCATTCATTCATTCATTCATTCATTCATTCATTCATTCATTCATTCTGATTTAGATGACACCAGACTACAACTGACTCTGACTTGATATTAGCCAGTACAAGAGTTCAAAGAAAATACTCTAAAAATGGCATCATCCACCTAAGCAATTTTCAGGTACCATTGATTTCAATGAGAATCAATACACATATGGATTTTGAGAAAACAGGCATAGAATTGTGCTGCAAATGTCTCCATTGAAATCTCTGGAAGCTTAATCAGTGGGTTCAAATTTTTGCTGGATAGTGTTATATTTATTTTCAACTACACAAAATATTTTCTGAAGGTACATTAGCAATAAACTGTCAAAAAAAGCACACTACAAATGGGTAAATTTTAGAAGTGCATTTTTTCTGTGATATTTCATTAATACGAAAATGCTACTTCATCATCAACAGACCAGCTTACTCAACGGTGTTTGTGACAGCAGGCTTAATGATGAGTAATATTTTCTTTCACATACCCAGTCTAGTACTGTGATCTTACAATGCTCATCTTTCCCAAGTGATTCACCTCTTTTTTTGTTATTCTGCGAATGAGACATCTCTAATTTCTCCAGAATGTCCATTCTTGATTTATCCTTTAGCTCAGTGCTAGTTGGCTAGTTCCCACAGATTATGTTTACCCCATATATTAAGCCCTGATTTTTTCAATCCAGTTTTGTAGTTCACACAATACACTAGTTTAACATGTGCTTGGCTAGTGTGCAAGTCAGTAGTCTTATGGATACAGCCATATAGCATTGTTAAATCATCACCCAGTAAATGTTACCCATTTTATTTCATGCGTTGCCTATAGCTTTTAACTCTTGCTCTCAAGGAGACCATACATAGCAGAAATCAAATTGCCATAATAAGCCATTAAAAAGCAGAAGTTTTTCAGAAGACCAGAAGTTAATTTGATCCCTTTGCTTCACATGCCCATTTTCCAAGATATATTATTCTCCCCATCAGGTAACATACATTTGATTAATATAGATTTTGTCACCAAATTAATTCCAATTCATGTAGCCATTTTGATTCACAGGGAAGTATCAACATTGCCTGATTTGTGTGTCAAGCCCACTTCAGATGCTGAACCAGGTTGCGCATCACGGCAGAAAAGTACTGCTGGGTTCCTAAAAGCCCACATAGCCACTTCTCTACCAGTGCCTGGACTGGAGCAGGTTAGATTATTCCTTACATTGCCCCCACTGCCATGCCCATAGCTGGCATAGCGTGCTGCCCGGTTCTTGCTCTCCAGCCGATGACTCTGAGCAGCTGCCAAATAGGCAGCCACAGGTTTTTGAGCCCGATAGCCTCCTTCCCGATTGCGTCCAAGAAGAAGAGAAATGTTAGGGTTGCGGGTGGCATAGATGAGGGGGTTGATGGCACCATTGGCCCAGGCCATCCAGCTTGCCACAGTGTCTATGGCTGGGGAAAAGGAGAAGTGTCCCGTGGCAGCAGCCAAGCCTAATATGCAATAAGGGCCCCAGCAGCAGATGATGGAGACGATCATAATCAGAACTGTGGTGGCCGTGCGCATCTCACCATAGAAACGCAGGAGGTGCCCGTAAGTGGTGAGTGGGCGCACCCTGCTCTCGGTCAGTCGCACCGCCCGGCAGATGTTGTAGTGGCAGAAGCACATGAGGGCAAAGGGCAGCAGATAACAGAGGACAATCAAAGTGGCACTATAAGGGGGACCCAAATGGGAAGAGCCCCAAGGCAACACATACATGCAATGGTAGGAAGCAGCGGGGCTTGGCCCAACAGGCTGCTCCTCCTCTTCCTCCTCCTCCTGGGCCAGCAGGTACCAAGGCCCTGAGAAGCCCAGAGCGGCCAACCACACAGCAACCAGGAGCTGCGTGGCTCTCCGGCGGCCCATTTTATGCAGCGGCTGGCGTACGATGGCACAGTAGCGGTCAAAGGAGAGTAGGGCCATGGTCAGGGTGGCAGCGATGCCCAAGCCAGCGTGGAGGGTGGCGCTGGCCAAGCAGAGGCGGCGCCCGAAGATCCAGCTCCCGTGTGGGCGCCCATTGAGAAGGCCGACGAAGGCCAAGGGCAGGCACAGAAGGGTGTCCAGCAGTTCGGCGAGCGACAGCGACAGCACGAAGGCGTTGGTGACTGTCCGGAGCTGCCGGTGCCGGGCGATGATGACCACCACGGCGCCGTTGCCCAGCGTAGAAAGCGCGAAGATGGTGAGAAGCAACAGGCCCTGCGAGATCAGCGCCGCCCCCAACCAGCCCCACCGCGCCTCCTCCACGAGGTCCGAAGGCGCCGTTCCCTGCCCGCTCCCCGCGCTTCCATTGCCGGGTGCGGCAGAAGCGTTGCTCACCGAGGTCACCTCCTCCATGGGCAGCTGGCGCAGGAAGGCGCATCCCCAGCCCGAGCAAGGCGAGAACCAAGGGGGAACGGTGGGAAGCAACAGCCGCCTCAGGCGCCCGGGATGAGCGGCGTGTTGGGTTTCGGCGCGGTTAGGTGGCTCCGGCCCCGTTGAGCCCTAGAAGGCTGCGCTCCCGCTGCATTTGGGGGACGGAGAAGTCGGCTGTCCGGGGAAGTGGCGTCTGCGAAGCAGCTGGGAAAAGCGCCTCGCAGACCACGCTTCGGCACTGCACACGTCTCGCGGCAACCTGGAAGGCAAGCGGAACTATACGGGGATGTTTTGGGTCGCTGCCTGATTTTCCTTCACCCGGGGACGCGCGTTCCTTCCCGGGCAGACTGAGGCGGGGAGGGGTGGAACCGGCGGCAGCGTTTGGGGATGCTTAGCTTTCGCTGATTCCTTTGCCGAGCTGCTCAGCCAACCCGGACTCGGCGGGCGCCGTATGGAAACCAGCCGCGTGGTGCGCTGAATTAGCTGGCTCCTCTTCGGAGCAAGAGACGTTCAGGGCCGCTGACGTTTCTACAGATGGTTGCCCGGGGAAACCATGTTATTCCCATCCGACGGCTGCTCAGGGCAGAAAGCACCGCTGCAGTTCCCACCCCCACTTTGCATCTTTCCCACTTCATCCCGAGGTCTGACTGGCGACCTGGCAGGGCTGCAAGTGGCCCCTTTAAATGTTTTACAATCCACCAATCAAAAAAGTGATTGACACCATCTCTGCTGGCCCCAACAGTTGGCAAAATGATGGCAAAATTATTTATTCCCACCATATTAGCCCAGTTCAGTTTGTCAGAACATGAACAAGGATCTTTTGGAACAGAAGTACCAACCCCTTCTTGTTGGAGTGACTGAACAAATGCAGAGAAAACAGGATTTCAGTCTTCTAACTTTGCAGGATCTGAAACTGTGGGTCTCTGCATTATGTTTCTCAATGACCATTTTTTTAAAAATCATGGGGAAAAACCACAGAATCACATCTCAAATTCTCCTTGGTTGGGTTTCCTCATCCACTACATTGTAGCAGTGGAGTGGTCCATCCTCCTATCATCCTTGCCTAATCTGATACTCTCTGGTTCAGGCAGAGAGATTCTGGCTCTCCAGATGAATTACAACCCCCCAGGAACTCAGCGAGGATGGCCAAAACGGAGAGGTGTGGAAATAGATGGTCAGCCACATTTGGTTGGGTTAAGGCAGGTTCCCTACTTCCATTGCAATGCATGGCAGAGCTCTTATCAGGAGTTGCAGATTTTTAAGGTATAAGTGGGTGGGTTAGCAGCAGTATGTACTTAAAATGTAACAAAAATTATCTTTTTATTTGCATTTCATTTAATAAATCCATGTGCTGGCCATCAGTCTTAACAGTATACTCAGTTATAGATTTAAAAAACTTGTTTCATAAACAACTGGGGGGGGAAACAAATTTTAATTTTGCAGTTATTCAGCATTGAATCAGTGAACTTAATGAGATAATCCCAATAAGGGCCTTTAAGATTTTCATTTTTTAAAAAAAAATAACCTTTTGTAATTGATATCCATGCTGCATTCAAATAGATATCCTTCCCCCTACATACACACAAAGTCTAGCAAGAAAATTCCCACATTTCAAAAAAGAAGTTATTCTCTGAAATCTTTGAAT